AGTGAATTAAACACTATCTTTAAGCAACTAAACGACATGCGTTCTAAAGTTGAATCACTTACTAGATCTTTGTCAAAGCATGATGATCTGAAACAAGAAATAAAGACACTATCACCCCTTAAACTGCTTTTGTCAAAAGATATCGTTCCTGTGGAACTTGTTGATATTATGAAAGCAGATTCTGTTATCGATTTTATCGCTAATGAAGTTACCAAGCGAATAGTCTCTCGCAATAACGTGATTGTCTATAATATACCTGACAGAATCCCCATTAAAACTGTAAGGAACTCGATATTAAAAGCATCTAATCTTCCAGACAGTCCATGCTAATGCATTCAACTTAATAAAAAGCATCAGAAATACTTGTGCCCGGTTTTGTTCAGATTCGACTCTCATATATTAGCTGAACGGTTAAAAGAATCAAGTCTGCCCTTATAACGTCGCCTACGATGCGTAGGGTAAAATATGGTGTCGGGAAGTGTAGTCTTATTTTTTTTGGTAGGGCCATCGTAATATTTTTGTTATTGGGTCTAGAACCAGAAGGTTCTGTACATACATTCTTCTTACGTGTCATAGACTTTTTAATCTTGACAGTGTTTTTAAGAGCTGTCGCAGGAGAACTATGTATTTGTTTATCGGCTTCTAATGGTAACCTGAATAATATCGGATTAGTGTCGTCATTAGATGTACATTGGTTATCATATGTCACTACAGGCGTAATAGGCAATTTAGCACTCTTCGTTGGTAAATCAGAGTACTGGAGAACATGAGATAGGGTAGATGCATCAGTGGATCCAGCAGCTGATGCTTCGTGATTTGTTATGATTTCAACACCTTTATTTTCGTTCAAGGTACGTTTTGCGTTAGTCTTTGATTGGTGGTCTTATCTGAGACTATTCGAGCGTTTCGAAACTTCGTAAGCGCGCAGATTAACCGCTCGACAGTGAGTTCGTACCCCAATTAGAGGCGATAATATGTTACTATTTATATCAAATTGATCATGCCTGTAAACTGGCGTGAATTCTGTAATTATTATTAGTAGTATAAAGTACTAGTTTTCACATTTAATACTTGATTAGTTTTCTTGTAATATTTATATTTTTTTCGTGTTACTGATTTATTTATTCATTGCTTTTATCTGATTCTTGTTTATGTGTATTATAATAAGCAAAAGGAATTTGTAACCTTAATTTTTGACCTTGCTTCATTATTTATTAAAAAAGACGAATAGGACAAAGAAATATTTCTTTTCAACTAGTATTTCATTAAGTCTGTACACTAATATAATTAAGCGTTCGCGCACGAAACTGTCAGATCCTGGATTCGAATCTCGCGGGGGGCGGGATCGTGTATGCGCACTGCTGAGGAGTCCGATGCTCGGAGGAAACGGTCTCCCAGGTTTTCCACGGTGGTCTAACTTCAACTAACTCATGATTTCAACTATTGCAATATAGTTATATTTAGTAATAGTAAAAATAATAATAATCGTAATATATATCAACCATGTAGTAATATGTTAAACTGTATTACAAGTTCACCTATTTATGAAAATAATTATGAATAGTTAACAAAACAATTAAACATAGTGATAATTATCCTAAGATATGAATAAATAAATAAATAACAATATTATGGCTTTAATGATTAGTATTACTTTGATATGTTTATCCTTTTATTAAATTTCTGAAAGGGAAATTTCATTATAATCATTTATTTGATTGTATGATAAACATGTTAGCTATACTATTTCAGTTCAATGTTTCCTAGAAATGTTATGGTTTTAATTTCTCTTTAGTTTAAATACACTTAATGAATTGACTAGTTGTTTTATATTTTCAAAAATTACTTCTTTTAATTATTCCATTATTAATTTGGTAAATAATCTTATTGAATAGTTTGCAAATCAATGAAACTGTCATAAAAACTGCGCTATCGTTGATGATACTCTAAATAACTGTTTTCTTCGTTTTATAGCATTGGAATAGTGTTTATTATTATTATTATTATTATTATTATTAGTAGTAGTAGTAGTATTTGTATCACTAAATTTTCGTTGCTTTACAAATGCAACTACATGTTTTTGAAATGCACTGGCGTTTGATGTATCTGTTTGTATTAGTAATGAATCATAACAGCATTTGTTCATGTATGTATTTGAAGAATGGGTCAAATTTTGACGTAATTATGACAAGAATATGCTATATATTAGTGTAACCTTTCATAATGTTCATTTCTTCTATAAATTAACTTTCTTATTGTTTTTGTTTTATTGTACATCCTATCATTCTTAAATGGAAGTATTAAACTGATCATAAGAAGGTGGATTTATTTGTTTAGCCTCCACAACGTTTTTAGTTGATATCTGAACTAACCCTAGTTAGACAGTCATTAAAAACTAGGATGTATTAAAAAATTGTTTCATTCTAATATGTGCCTTCTCAGCAGTGTATATCAACGATTGTACTGTTGATTTAAGCTAATGTCTTCATCTTTTACCTTGAGCATTTAACTTTAAGACCACTGAGTTGACATCGAATAATTTACACTTTTAATCATAATTAATTGTCAGTATAACTCAATCATCTTCCAGTGTCATTGGTAAACAACTGTACGGTTAAAGTTCACCGTTTCGTGTCCAACCATCTTCATAAACCCCTTAGATCAATTTTACAACTTTTGTTTATGGAAAAAGGGACAATCAGACTAATAAGTTGTATTATATGAGATCATTCATCATCATTCAATGTCAGTCAGTCACAATGTTGAATCTAGTACTTATTTACATCGGTTCAAGTTGACACCCCCCATTAACACAAAGATGAAATTGTCAGACTAAACCTCAGTATAGTAGAGATAGTGGCAGTATGATTTGGGGATTAAAAAGATTAGGCATTGAAAATAAAGTTCAAGAATATATAAATTATTGAAATAAAAACAAGAAATTTTATGAAGAATTCAGAAACTCAGATTTCGGGGTAGAACAAAGAATGCATACATCTACGCCATCACAAATGATTTTGATTCATGTTATTCAAAGTCTCTAAACATTGGTTACGATAATCATACAAATCCCAACTAGTCAGTCTACGCCTATTAACAAGGCTTAGTCCAATTGCCAGTGACTATGGACTGATGCCATGTTTTGGTTTGGCTGCCCCTAGTTTTTTTTCCAGTCTACTCCTACACTACAAAAAATCAATCGTCAAGTTATTTGGTGATTAGGTATAGGTAACACATACCTCAACCACTTCAGTTGATGATCATTTACTACCTCATCAATCTATTTGTTATCTTTACCTAGGACTCTATTCTTAACCTAGAGGTTGCTTACTCGGTGGTGATTCATTGTAATTCGATTTATCTATATTTACAACTGATACAATATTCAAACCGTCTTGTTATACATATTGAATTAACTACTGAATATGTAATAATAGCCTATGAATGTTTTTATATCGGTTTTTTTCAATAAATGAGTTTTTATTGTTTATTCTGTAAATGAATTTCTGTTTTTTAAATGAAAAGTACATTATAGTAATGGATTATTCGTTTATAATGTAATTTTGTTTAGTTTTTACATTAATTCTTAGTATAAATTAATAAAATTGACTTTTAATAATAATTATTATTACTATAGTGACAATTATTATTATTCATATTACTGACAACTAATATTGCAGTGAAAGAGAACACCGATGGGGGACAACTAAATGTACTCTAATACAACATTACAGAAGATCTTGGTAAAATATGAGATCCATACATTAAATACTTCATTTGCAGAATATCCATCAATTGTCTCAGACTTTGTTACCCCTTCATTTCCATACTAATCAATCTCTGTTCTCGTTCTTTTCTCTTCGATTTTCTCAATCTTTTACCACCAGGTTTCCCATTTCCGATTAGTGATACTTACTACTTATATCTATCAACATCAGTAGTACACACCACAATATAATTACCTTGTTTTAATATTAATAATAATAAGATATATAATGATGGAGTCATTATATTCCTTTTCTTTTTCCTTTCGATTAATCACATCATCATTAAAAGTAATAAAGATATATTAATGAACTTTACTTTTTTTTCTCCGCAATTAATCAATTAATTAATCGGTAAATTATCTTTAAAAATCAATTTTATTGCACTTCATTTCCCGTTATTTATGTAAAATTAGTTTATAAAAGTTCGAACTTTGTAGATTAGCTTATATATATAACTATGGAATTAGATTATCTTATTCCCATTGATTTGTTTATATCGATCAATTCATTGTATTTCATTTCCTAACTTTTATATATTCAACGTTCAATGATGATTTCATGTTATTTATGCCAAATTCTTTTCTTTTTTTGTTTTTGTTTAAAGTTTATATCACAGACTGGCTAACCTTATTTAGACAATTGTTAAAAATCAAAAAGCATTGAATAGTTATTTGCTTATTTTTCAATTATTGTTCAACTAAGTTCAGTTTATAATATGAAGAAGATTGTTAAATCATATCTACAAACTTCCATATAACGGATCAAGTTCATTTATGTAAAAGCTATTTTGATATGGAGAGACGACCAGAAGTAATAGAAGGTCAGTCATTGGCAATCAGGGATAAATGCGTTTCATTGGCTAAGAAATGGGTCAATTCCCTAAGGATTGAGTGGTATATATATATATATATATATATATATATATATATATATATATATATATATATATATATATATATATATATATATATATATGAATTAGTATTTGTACATTTTATTCGATAGTCCAGTACACTTTCTTACTCAAGTAGTCATTCGGATGGAAGGGATCAGCGCGTAACACACAGTGTATTAGTATCAGATTTCGGATACTATTCGTCACAACACATTTTACACTTGTCTGTACTTTCTGACTAATTGTTTTTCAAATAATTTCTATAACAACTACAATTAAATTGGGATTATTGTTTTTTTCTCCTTAAATGAAATTTCTTTTTATTCTTTCCATTTCAGGTTGCTCAATACATTGGAGAGATATGTCGTTATCTTTTATGTCAACCTGTAAGACCAACAGATAAACAACATCATGTACGAATTGCATTCGGTAATGGTCTACGACCACAAATATGGAAAGCATTTCAAGAACGTTTCAATGTAAAACAGATTGGGGAATTTTATGGTGCTACAGAGTCAAATACTAATATTGCTAACATGGATAATAAAGTGAGGGAGTACCCGTCAATATAAATTACTTTTTATTTGTGATTGTGATATTTTTAAATGTAAATTGTTTCTACCTGCTCTTTTGGTTATTTCAAAGTTTTTTCTAAATTGTATGAATAGTTTTAGATACACACACGTTTGACAAACAATATTTCACCGTGTTTTGTTGAGTGAATATTAAATGTAAATTACATTTATTCAAAAGAGTAAGCTAAAGTTTTACTTCATTTTTAATTAAGATCAGTCTCTACCTTTTTATGGTTATCAAAACTAGTTTCTACGTTTTTAGATGTAACTTCTTTACTGAGTAAAGGCTAGTGTATTCAAAATCGAGCTAAGATTGTGTGAATCTTTATCGATCGAGGTGATTGGAAGGCGTGTTGTGTATACCCAACAACCACTTACCCTGCTGCGATAATGATTGGTGTAGAAATAGTTGAGAAGAAAACTAGGAGTAATCAGACCAAAATTTAGGACTTTTACGTGAAGTTACTGACCATCGATCTGACACTTCTTGGTAGATACAGGCTATCTGGTTGGGTTTCGCGTGATTGCCGTGACCACTAGTTGAAAATGAATGATAAAGCTCAAAGTCAATCGTATTCACTCTTTATATTCTCATAGATCCTAACTTTCACAATCATTTCATACCTTTTATTATGTGAATTTATTTAGTCTTCTCAATTCATGTCCTCTGCACCGAATTTTTTTTACTATTAATAGTACTATCACTTCTACTACTTTGGTATTCATTTTGATAGTTCCATCTTCTTATGATAGTATGGCCTAATAATCTGAATTGATGCACATATGTGTCAGGTTTTACGCCGCGTATGGCTGACTGATTTTGAGCCACATTTTTTGCATGACATTTAGCAATTTTATTCAGCTTGCTAAATTCTTGATTAACTGAAAAAATTGTTCTGATCCGTAATTTGCTGGCTGAGAATCGAGTATTGTAAGTACTTATCTATTAGCCTAATTTTCCAGCAACGTAGGTTATCCAGTTTCTAACTAAAATACTTTGTATAGTTTAATAATCTGTTGATTTATGATAAGTTTTTTCTTGTTCATACACCTAATTAATTTATTTAAATCAAATCATATGTACTCTAGGATCCTGAGGGGACAAATGTCGTCTGATCCCACTGTTGCTCACCGGCTACGATGGGATTGCATCTTCTAACATTGTCACACTATCTCGTGGATTAAACCTCTGGGTCAAAGGCTTGGGTAGTGGCCTCCTCAGAAAGCTACCTGCTTCGGCTTGGGCACCCGAGCAGTATCATAGCATGTATTTAAATAAATAAACAACTCTGAATTTTAACAGTTGAATTCATGAGTCGATTTGAGCTAGACTATCTTTGAAAACCTGGAAGCACTTGACAGCCGTTTCATCCTAAATATGATCCCACATGCGGGATCGTAGATGCGTACTGTTGAAGAGTCTCATACTTGGACGAAACGGCTGTCAAGTGCTTCCAGTTATTCAGTGGTGATCTAGTTAAACCGAAACATGAAGTTCACTGTTAAAATTACCACAGTTCTCACAAACCATTATTCTGAAAATATGAAGTTTGATTATACTTATTAATGTTGTTTATTATTCTTTAGCGTATACTATCATAAAGTGGTACATTGATTAGTGGGTTATTTCGTTGATTTCATTGACGTGATTAAATTTCTGATTAAGGCATAATATGAAATTTTTAAGAATTTTACTTGAGTACAAGATTTACAAGATGACATTATTTGTCTACCTTGATCTACTAATCGAAAAGAATTATTATAACCCAAAGTCCATTTTTTTGTAAATTTTATCACCTCATTCCCATGTTACTGTATAAAATTTTTGAAATTACTAACAGTTATTATAATTCTCTATTTTATGAATTTATCGATGTTGTTTTACTTTTTTTGCCTACTTTTCTTCCAGTTTGGTGCAGTTGGTTATGTTTCAAAGATCATTGATGGTTTTTATCCATGCTATGTCATTAAAATTGATGTGGACACTAAAGAACCTATTAGAGATCCCATAACTGGATTATGCATACTATGTGAACCAAATGAACCTGGTCATTTGGTAGCACGTATTGGTTCAAATGATCCTTTTCGAATGTTTGATGGTTATGTTAATTCGGAAGCTTCCGAAAAGAAAATTATTCGAAATGTTTTACGTAAGGGTGATTTATGGTTTGCTTCTGGTAAGAAATTATTAAATATATATCATTGCTATGTTGTGAGCTTTTTTTGAAATGCTACTTGTTTCAATACAATTACTCTTTGAACGTTTTTGTTAACAATGTTTTTGAGTATAGGGATGTGTAACAGGTACACTTCTTTTATGAACGTTAATATGTTCAGAATGTCACTGAATACCGGAGCGCTTTAACTAATTTTATAAAAGTTACGGTGTTTATGCTAGACGTTGATAATTAAAATTGTCCTTTATCCTAGGCTTGACACAACCGAGTGAGAATAGTAAGGATATCAGTACAACAACATATGGAAATGAGAAGCAAAAATTAGTCTATAATTTTAGACCGAACCAATCTTCGCAGTATGCTTCGAACTGATGTCACCCAGCTTTGTAATCTGAGACGTTACCACTGTTATCTGTTTTGCAATTGACTTCCTGCAGGATTTAGATACTTACAATGACTGATCGTTGAGCATTGGCTGATATGTTGATTGAATTATATCAATCAAGCTCAAACATGGTCATCAGTCTACGTGACTCAACATTAGGTTCATTTCATAAACACCTCAGTCCTACAGAAAGTTAATGTGGGCGCGAATAGCTTAGTCATAGTGTCTCAGGTTATGGAACTTAGTGACGCGGTTTAAAATTCAACAATGAGCACCATTTCCTTGAAGATGGTAGATATGCCTTGCGGACGAATGCCAACTAACATGAGACCTAGGTTCACGGTTTTCTACCTGTTACCTCTAATCACCTAACATATTAAAAGAGTGCACATGATAGCCAGTCATGTAGATTAGTGGATACATTGTAGCTTGATCAATAAAATTCGATCAGTAATAAACGTCAGATTAACATAACATTGATCAATACTCAGTGATCAATCAGTGTAAGAGGTAAGTCTTTTTGAGAAAACATATTTCAATAAGGAGTGTCGTATGGACAAACATTACTCAATACATTTTGTTTGTATAATCTTAGAATACACGTGATAATATAGGTTATTAGGTCAATCAAAGAATAAGAGAAGAGGTAGAGACAAACTGTTAATAATTTCTTGAAGACGTGCTGAACAAGATATAGAATATAATTATTACTAAATATTATTCAATGTGCAATACTTAAGGACATTAATCGATTTCAATTCTATTCCATTTTAATTTATAATTTTATTTTACGTGATTTATCTATCTATCTATCTATGCATGTAGCTTAATAGTCTGATTGCGTAATTTTTATTTTCTCGCAGCAATTTCATTAATTACATACTGATAATTATACAAAATAACATCAGCTATTGATATTCAGTTGCTTAATTTTGAACGAACTTAATTCTTATTCTTACGTAACAAGTTGTTATTGATTAACCGATTATGTGGTCTTATCTTTAGATTTAATTCTACATCCGTTGACTGTCTAACTGATTCGTTGCTGAAATGATCAACCGTCATTTATTTGCATTTAATTTTATCCCTAATTGTAGAGCTTATGTATTAGAGTACAGCCTTGATGAGGAACTAATTGGGAAAGAAAATTTCTTTCCGCTAAACTTATTTTGTGACGTCTTAATCGTGTTACTTCAGACATAGTGGTAAAACAATTATTGAGGTTGTGAAGCTTCATCGACGTGTTACATATCTCCAACTACCGATTACCACGACGTGCAATGCTTATCGGTGTTGGGGATGGTTGGAAGAAAGTTAGGGGCAGTCACACCAAAACGTGACATCAGTGCTTGAAGTCACTAACTTCTAGTCTGAGCCATGTTGGTAGATGCGGACTACTTGGTTGTGGTCCGCATGATTATCGTAAGCAATGGTTGAAGACTCTTGGTAACATGGCTCAAAATCGATTAGAATGGCGTAGGTGTATACACTCTCTGTCTTCCTTTGAACTCTGAGATTAAAATCGCTTCATATCTTTCTTTCTACGAAGTAATTCTCTCTTCTTGTACTATATCCTTATATGCAATCTTTCTTTTGCATGTTACCACCATTGAATTAACTGCTTTTATGAATTTGATGTTGATCTTGTTGTGTTAATGAGGTATGGCATTTTGGACCGATGCATGTATGTGTCTGATCCCATGTTGTAGCTGACTGACTGCTACTTCAGACACCAGTTTTGGTCTTGTGAATACTTAATCATTTAGATTCACATTTATGCTTGGAATAATTCTTGGCAACGTTGCTAATTAGTACTGGCATAGATTTTAAAATTATAGTAGTATCACAGTATCGAATGTGTTACGTACATTCCTGATGTTATGTTGTGTTATATTAATTACTGGTTCGATTAAATACTTCGTTATTAATCCATTCGTACTTTTATTAAAATAATCTTAATCAACAAGAAATAATATATTTGTAATATCCCAATGAGTAGAAAAAATAGATTTTCTGACATTCCGTGACTTAGTGTAATCCACTTCTTCAGAGAATAAGTAACCAAATTAAAATTAATCCAAGTTTAAATAGTACAATGGAACATAACAATCTACCCGATGCTCAATTTATTCGAAAGTATCAAATCAAACCTTGGTAATTTTACCTACAATCTTAATCAACATTAACTTACTGTAACTCCATCTAATACTGGATGTTGTACTCAGCTTCGAACCACAGTTTGTGTGGTGGTTTCTGTTGTTACTCATTTTTTCAAACGGGAATTAATGAATCATTTTACCCTATTAGTTTGAAAGTCCTTCGGTTTAACTACTAAACCATACAACATTGTTATCACTTTCTTTTGTCAATTTTGAATCTGTCGAATGTCTTTTAATTAAACATAAATCAATATGAAGTTTTAATTATAATCGAAGCAACGAGTAAACCTATTTCAATTTATGATATTTTTAATATCCTGTTTTGATGTAGATAGGTTTTAGGTGAAGTTGTGTTGTTTGAGCTGGATGGTTTGGTTGTGGAACTTTAATTGTTCTTCGAAACAACATCATCTACAACCAAATTATCCAGCTCAAAAAATAGAACTCTACCTAAATCATCCATTTGAGCTACAAATTTCCATCATCACAGCTTTATTTCAACGCTAAAAGTAATATTATTGTTAGTGAAACATATCGATAATGAATTATAAATATTTAAATAATAATTACTAGTATGATCCGATCTTAATTATTAATCCGGTGACAAAAATGTTATCTGTGAGAGTTATCAAAAGGTTAATCAGACGATGATGTGATTTATAACTACTGTGCTCAAATATAGGTAATATGTAAAAGATAATTTGGTAATAAATTGTTTGACAAAAGTTAAATATAAGTTTGTTTGTTTTTCAAAAATAGATCATACAAAATTACTATTAACAAATTATATTTTTGAGACTAAAATTTACTCCTTGACTGAATTGGTCCATAAAACTTATTTTTATTCTCTTTTAATTTAAGGGGATTTAATGTGCTGTGATGAATTGGGTTATATGTACTTTATCGATCGGTTAGGTGATACATTTAGATGGCATGGGGAAAATGTATCCACTTCAGAAGTTGAACGTGTTTTAGATCAAGCTATTGGAACATTAACTGGGACTGTATTTGGTGTTTCCATTCCTGGGACAGAGGGCAAAGCTGGAATGGCTGCTATTGCATTAGAAGGATTAAAACTTAATTCTATAGAGGAAGAAAATTTGCTTTGTCGAATAAATGAAGAGTTTACAGGGAACTTGCCTTCTTATGCACGTCCTCTATTCATACGGTTGTGTCAAAATCTGACGATGACTGGTATGTTCAATTCACTTCTTTTTTTACTCATCATTATAATTTTTATGTGACTGATTAAACGTTCTTTTTTGTGTAGGTAGGTTTATATTCCATATGATATCTAAGCTTATATCAGAAGGCTTTTATTTTATTTCCCTCAAATTCAAGTTTATTAGTGTCATTATTAAAACTTGTGTGAATCTCATCCTTTATATCCTGAGTGGCTTGTTATCGAGACAACTCTTTAGGCTTCGTATACCAATTGTCCTGATAAGCGTCAAATTCCAACACTGAATTCAGAAAGCAACACGAAACACCGACTACAGTTTATTATTGGAGAGTTCAGATAACAAACTTACAAACACACCAAGCGAATTTGAGCAGAAAAGCTAATGCTCACGAGCAAGTGAATACACAATCAAATCAAAGCGAAACAATTAATAGGATTCAAGCATATTTAAGTGACTAACATTTAAGCTAGAGAGTTATGCGCGTAGGCTGTCACATGTGATCAAGCCTACATCTTTATATGATAATAATAATAATAGTAATACAAAGAAATAGACAAATCGCTACTGTTCTAATAGCACTGAACTCAGTATCATTTGAAACGAAAGGTTCCAGGCTTGAGTCCCACTGTGAACATAAATTTGGATGAAGGTATACGCATCCGGCGTGTTTCAAATAAAACTGAACGCGTGTTCTGAATTTCACTACTAGTCTCAAATCTACGTATTTTATGAAATCAAGTTTTTCAGATTTAAATTATAGGCGAAACATATTGGTAAGTTTATCTCAAAAAGACTAAGAATCTACCCTAGATGCTTAGTCGCGGACATGTTGGTTTATCTGTTTTAGTGGATTTTCAGTGAATTGTTTGAAAAGTTTCGAAAATGTGAACCATTAGTGTTAACAATTTAAGATTCAGCATATATTTAGAGCAGTTCAAGTTGCCTTTCTGTACATCAACACAGTACAATGAAATCAATAAATAAAAACATCACTCAATATAAGAGAGTTAAAATGAACGCATAAAATCGAAGAATAAAAAGGTTTTAGTGTTATTAAGCTCGAGATTCATGAATTGGAGAATGAATGTAAATCATCCAAGTTCTCCGCTAAATGTTAGAACACCGCCATACTTTTTCAGGCGAACAATCTCTGCGTTTGTTGAGGTCAGGGCCGCCTTCTATTCGTTGGATAGGGCTGTTCATTGAAACTGTCTATTGAAGAAGGGTGTACCGGAGAAGTTAATTGATATTTTAAAGGCCATACATGCAAATACCTTAGGCAGCTTGAGTGCATGCAACCACCTCTCTCTATGATTCCATTCAAACATTGGGGTTGCCCAATCTCACCACTACTGTTCAGTTTTGCTATCGATGACGTTCTGAAAACAGCTCTAATCGACGTAGGTAACGGTGATGTAGATCTGTTACTTGGAGAAAAACTCGGCCTTGAATATACGAATGATATTGTCTTGCTGTGCGATAATACTCAAGCCATGCAATCCACAGTTAATCAGTTGGAAATAAGTATCTGTATGTGCTTTGCACCTTCGAAGTGCAAAGTACTTTCAAAAGACTGGCAGGACCCTGTATCGTCATTCACTCTTGGTAGTAAGCAGTTAGAAGTAGTTGATTTCGTGTATCTGGATAGCTGATAGTAGAGTGAATGATGAGAGCGCCTTGTGCCAATCTGCGCCATCTTTGGCACCGCCGTGATGTTAGTCTAGAGTAAGTGACAGATAGTGTGTAATAAAACTATTCTTTACAAATCGTTCTGATTTTTATTGTTAATTTTGCACTTTTAATCCACGTTATATAATATTGTGACACGACACATGTGATCTGTGTAAGTGAACCTATTACTTGATTGTAATAAACTGACTTAATTTTATAATCTAATTAGAATTCAATATTGGACCTAAATGCTTCATTTATGTACTTCCTTTTATAAATTTGAATGTAATAAAAAGGAAAACCGTAGTATAATCCTACTATTGTAATGAACGAGAACACAGATGGGAATAACCAAATTTATATTTGTACAAAAACACAGAACACCTTGGTAAAATATGAAAACCACACATTGATTATTTCATTTGTGGTTCACTGCTTTCTCGCGTCGTTACTGTTGTTTACGGAATTGAGAGGATGAAAAGCGAATGTCCGGCGCTTTAACTGGGTTGTTAGACACAGAGTAGGAAAACACTGATTCCAAACTAATGGTGCACATGGGCTCCAGAATCCTGAGGAAAAAAATGAAGTATGAACCAATTGTTGGTCATGGACTACCATGGGACCGCATCTCCTTACGTTGCTCCACTGCCCTGTGGACTAGACCTTTAGGTCGAACGCTCCGTGTGTGTTCCCCTAAGAAAACCACCTACTTCGGTTTGGGCACCTGAGCAGTATCACAGCCCTCACACAAGTCGAATGATTTGTGTGGCACACATGTATACGGTGCCCCTTTGTACTAGTATTTATATGTTAAAATAAATAAATATGATTCTTCCTATTGCCAATTCTTTTCTATTTCCCCTTCTATTCTCTTCATCTTGATCTTCTTAACCTTCTGCTGCCAAGGTTCCCACTTCCGATCGCTGTTACATACTACTTATGTCTGTCGTTATAAGTAGCATCACACTGTATCCTATTAAATAAATTGAATATGTCAAGTGGTTTTCACTAGTGGTACTTTTGTTTATATCCATTCATTAGATAGATTGCTGTAATTTTTGTCTAGTACGCTATCATCCATCCTGCATATCTAAAGTGTAGATATTAAGAACACTGACACATATCTAATGCCGAATCATTTATTGTTTATATTTGTCCGGCTGATATATTTCTATGTTTCACGGGGAATTATACACAACAATGTAATTGTTAGTTTACTCTCTGAACTTCGAGTTTATGTTTTCTTTAACTTTACTATTTCATGTGAATGGTAATTTTTTACTGTCAATGTGACCATGTTTTTGGTCATATGTAATTCAGTCATAGTGGTTCAACAGATAAACGTATTAATGTAGTTCAGTAGAAAAAAAACATCCAAGCTACGGGCTGGATTGTTTTCAATCAGTCATCATGAAATACTGTAAAGTGCGATATAACACAGATACATTCACTCTGTATCTTTCTTTATAATCTTTCATACATACCTGAATACTTCTTTTTTAAAACCATATTCCCTTGGTTTAGTCCTTCTTTTTATCGTTATTATTACTAGATTATTTCAGTCTCTTTTTTATTTTCAACTCGTTATGGTAATCTGGTTTGGTAGTTTGGGCCAACGCACATCTATGCCAAGTTTTATATTGATATTGTTTGTCTATGTTAAGTTTGAATTCATCTAATCTGTTGATAAACATGTCATTAAGAACTATAAATTCATGTTTCTCCCACTTTAATATGGCATAATTACATAAGATAATTTATTTCATCAATAATACTGTTATGAACGAAAACTTAGGTGGGGAAAACTAATCTACTATTTAATGCATAATCACTCAGTGGTTTAGTAAAATGTGAAAATCAAACGTCATACATATTTGAATTGTCTTTTACAGGCTTCATTGTTCCTATATTCCTGTTTTTACCTTCATTGCTTTCAGTTTTCTACACACTTCTCTTCATTTCAATCTTCTGTTAACAAACATTCCACTTCCGACTGGTGTTATATACTACTTATATCTGCATACATCACAATACCACATTACACTATAATAATAATAATCATAATTTTGAAAAAAAAACGAACAATTAAACTGATAATTAAACTTTGTCACATTCATGTTCACGTACTAAAGTCCTGTTGTTTTCCTTCTCATTTTTTAAACACAAATTTTTTTTATGAATTAACAATATATTACTTACTATTAAAGCTTTATTTATTGATAATAAAAGATATCTGTTCAAGAAAAACACAACTAAGTTCCAGTTTCAAAATTAGAGAGAGAAAAAAAGCGACAATAAAGAACGAAATAATTAAACTTGATTATTCATTGTACTATTTTAACACTTGGAATAGTTTAAGCTTTACAAAAAGATACCATGCACACAAACACACACACACACGCCATGAAAATTTTATTATATTGGCAAAAAATGATAAACAAACCTTTAATTAAGTTATTGATTTTTTGTTGTTGTTGCTACATTGAATGTGAAGTAATGTTTGTTTGTTGTTTATTTACAGAAAAGTAATGTATAACAGATGATAATAGATACTGTTCAATATATAACGGAAACAATTAGTACAAAATGTATTTAAAATACTCATTCTAATTTCATATCTATTTTATCATTTACTTGTTTTATTAATTAGGAAGTTACATATGATAATACATTATGAATTTGTTTACTATTGTCAGCTGGTAATAATTTGTGTTATCAATGAAATTTGTTATTTTCAAATGATTTTAGTAGGAAGTTTGATTGTATTTGAACAAAATATTATTAATTACATCGTACCAATGTACAGGTAATTTATGTACTGAGTAAGAGTTAGTCAGTTACAATGTAGGACCAGACACATACATGCATTGGTTCAAGTTTCCACATCTCAATTAGCACAGCAAGACGAACACCGGATTCATAGAAGGGAAGAGTAAAATGGAATGGTATTATATGTAAAACTTATGAAATGATACTTGATTATTTGACGAATATAAAAAAGTACAGAAAGAACGAACAGATGTTCATAACAATTATAAAATATTAATAACCACTGCTACTTCTTTCAATGATGATGATGATAATAGTAATAGTATTATGATCGTAGTGAGGTCGGCGGTAAAAAGATGCATTCTCAAGGCCTCCACTACTCACAATTTTTCGATATAACTTTTTCAGAAGCTTTGATTTTAAGTTAAAATCGATTATGCATATGAATCGTGATTGTGACAGAGGTCAGTTATACTATGGTGTATGCACCATAATTGGTAGATGCAGACTACTTGGTTATGGTCCGCATGACTATTGTAACCAATGGTTGGAGACTCTTGGTGACATGGCTCAGAATCGATCACAATGGCATAGATGCATACACTCTGTCTTCCCTTAAACTATGAGATTAAAATCGCTTCATATCTTTCTTTCTATGAAGTAATTCTCTCTTCTTGAACTATATCCTTATATGCAATCTTTCTTTTCAATAATACCACCATTGAATTATACTGCTTTTATGAATTTGGTGTTAATCTTGTGTTAATGAGGTATGGCAACTTTGACCGATGTATAAATTTGTCTGGTCCTACATTGTAGATAACTGACTGGATGAATTTTTACTTCTTTTAACTTCTTGTTGATTGGAACATGAATTGAACATTTATCATATTTGTTTAACAACATTGTAAAAACTTTATATGAACGTGTTTTCATATGAGTATTTGAGATTAAATATATTTTTAATCGAGTTTAATTTATGATTGTTAAAAACTCGGTTTCATTCCGCCTTTTTTGTTTTTTTTAAAAAAATCTCGTTTATTATTCTATTCTTTATTTAGGTACATTTAAAATTAGCAAAGCAGAAATCAGTCGTCTTGGTTTCGATCCAAACATTGATCCAAATGATCATGTATACTTTTTAAATCCGAAAACAAAAGTTTATCAACTAATAGATCAACAATTATTTAATGATATTAATAATGGTGTATTTATTTTATAAACTATACTATTTGTATTCATCATACTTATTATATATATATGCTATTTATAATAACAGCTATATACATTAGTTCTTTCGTGTGTATAGTTATTTTTATTCTCTTGTTGTAAGTATTAACTAACGGATAGAAAAAGAGAAAAACAAACACAAACCTTTTCTCAATGGTTAAACACGTTTTGTTTTTTGTTTTGTTTTCTCTTTTTACATTCTTCCCTTTTCACCTTACCATCTTATTTATTTGTATTGAAAAACACTTTTTTTAATGTTTATTAATGAACAAGTAATTCTGGTCAATTTATTAGAAAATAGATTTTTTTTCTTTTTGTTCTTCTTTATATTCAGTTTACTTTATTCTTGTTCTGTTCTTGTTTTCAGTTCAAGTGGATGATTTTGTTGACGATTGTTTCATTGTATCTTGCTTGTTTCATTTTTAAACCTATTGAATATTGAATGAAATATTCAATATGTTTTATTTGAATACTTCCAATCATTTCCAACTGTATTATCATTTTCATTTATAATTTGTATATGTGTGTATAATAAAGAAGTGATAACTATTATAAGACTATTTTGTAAGTATGTTGTTAATTTATTATTATTTATATTGGTGGCATAGTTATACAATTTCTCAATAAAGATATATATTAATTCAACCTTTAGAGACAATATATATATGTGTATTAGGAGTTCTATTGTTTTATTATAAATTTGTAAAATGATGTTCGAAAAAGTAAATACTTCTTCAATTGTATGATTTTATTAGTGAAATTTAAAAGAACGTTCATAATTATCCCGACATTCACTTTCAATAATAGATCACTTATATCAATTATTGTTTGATGTGATCCCATTTATTGTATGATGAATTTCTCTTCATTGATTCCCCTTTAACTACTTATCTTTTATGTTATGTAACTTATTAACATTAATAGAAGCTACAATCATAATTTATATAATAACACATGTGCTATTATTCTTTGTATAACTTATCTTATTTTGATGTATTTCATAGTGTCTGTTTATGATTTTCATAATCAAAATGGAAAATAAACAAAACAATACAAACAGCAGAGTATTTATCATGTACAAGATTCAAACATTAGCAAGTATTAATTCCATTATTTGATACACAACGGGTTTTTTTTTATTTAAAAAAAACAAACAAGGTTTGCTTACTTATATTTGTAATTTACATTTTGTACTATTTCTGGAGAATACTTTTCTTCTTCTTTTTTTTAATATAAAAAATTTTGATATATATATTCTATTTTGTTGTATTTATGAGGGCAACTACACAATTTCAACGTGTTTGGTGTTATGGTGTTTATAATTTATTCGGTGGTTGTAAATGTTTGATCATGGAAGGTTGTAGGTTAAATGAGTTCATAGTTGGTGGTAGGATACTTATGTTAGTGGACAGTAGAAAAAACACCATTGGATGCCGGCTCAGTGGTCTAATGGTTAAGTGCTCATGTGCGAAGCCAGTAGGTCCTGGGTTCGAATCCCGCGAGCGGGATCGTGGATGCGCACTGCTGAGGAGTCCCATACTAGGACGGAACGGCCGTCCAGTGCTTCCAGGTTTCCAACGGTGGTCTAACATCAATTGATTCATGATCTCAACCAAAAAGAAAAAAACAAAGTTATCAAACAATATATAGAATTATAATGAGTAGATGAAATATAATTAGCACTGAAATTTAGGATGTACGTTTGTCACTCATCGAATCATTACAAATTAATGTATACAAAGAGTCCGAAATAGTAGTTCACGATCTGTTGTAAATATTTTATGAATTCATATGGATTACTTGTTGTAGGTTATTTACAACGTTTAAACTGTTATCTGAGTGCTTTTTGTGATAAGCGTATTGATTTAACGAGTACTCAGGTGTTTTCGCATATCTTATTAGCCTATCTGAGAGTATGATTCTTCATGTCAGTGTAATTGTTAGTGTATTAGAAGTTTTTAATATACATTTTAATAGGCGCTATCACTGATCACATTTGTCGGACGGTATTAAATGATGATTTCTACTTTGGGTAGTCTTATTGTTTTCTAATCTCTGAATGTGTAGCTATTTAATATTTGTTTTCAATCAGTCAGTCAGTAACAACGTAAAACTTCGTACGTACGTAAATCAGTTCGAGTTGCCACACCACATTAGCACACAGATGTAGTGGCCGATTCAAATCCCGTAGTGGTAGAGGTAATAAGAGTATAAGCAGTAATCGGGAAAATTAGTATTTGGAGATGTTACTTAAAGAGTATAATACAGTGAAATAAATTTGGGAAGACAAGAAAAGAGATAAGGAGACCAAAATTTGGAAGAACACAAAGAGTGTATGCATCTGTGCCATTGCAAACGATTTTGAGCCATGTCATTCAGGGTCTCTAACCATCGGTTGCTATCATCTCGCGGTCCCCAACCAGGTAGTCTACACCTACCAACATGACTCAGTCCACTTGTCAGTGACTTCATGGACTTGTGCCATGTTTTGGTCTGGCCGCCCCTAGCTTTCTACCAACCTACTCCTATACCACTGAACATCGCACGTTTTTATTACTTATCTTCATCACTTACTGACCCTTATTTTTCCACTAAAATAAACATTTTGGAAGTAAAATTTACCGTTGGATTCTTTTTGTTTTAAACGATTGTATTCAAAGAAGTTGGTGTGTAAATTGTAATTATTGCACACTCTGTTTGTTTTGTCTATGATATAGGTTTTGTTTGTTTCTTAGATTGGAAATTTTTCTTAACATTAGCCATAGTAGTAGTGTAGTGAACGCTAATCCCAAGATTGCATGTAAGTAGTATATATAGCGGAACGTAGCTTCTAAGCTGTCATGGCCATCAAATGCCGCGAAGAGTTTCAGTACATCAAAGCATGTGTAGGTAGATAGTTTGGAATGCAGAACACACAAAAAGATGCAAATGGAAGATCGAAGGCTATATATGCATATCATATAAACACTAATTTCTCACATTAAACATTCAATCTTTGTGCCAGTGCCTTGTTCTATGGTAATAGTATTAGTAGTAGGAAGGGGAATATTAAAGTATTTAGAATTTTGTCATGATATATTCAATTTTTACAAATATAAACAGATCTCTTATAAGTGCTGACGATTTAATTTTATCAAAATAACCTGCAAAGGTAAGAATCGCATATTACTTAGGTGTTGGATGTTTACAATAGAATCGATCTTAATTTCCTTATTGGCTGGTGGGACCAGCATGGCTTGGCGGACATATTGGGAGTCATAGTTATTCCCGCCGTTTACCCGCGCTTGGTTGAATTTCTTCACTCTGACATTCAGAGCACTGGGCAGAAATCACATTGCGTCAAAACCAATCAGTGGACATCGCAATGCTTTGTTTTACTTAGACAATCGGATTCCCCTGGTCCGTGCCAGTTCTGAGTTAGCCGTCGCGTGCCAGACCGTGGAAGTACAGCCGCTAGACGCAACGTGGAACAAGTCCTCGCGCGTTGCTAGCTGCATGGCACTAACAGCTGAAACCGCCCACGATCGACCCGGATCAGAGTCCAGTAACCTCACCACAACGCGCACCGAAGCACAAAAAGCATCAAAGAAACCAGCCCCCAACTGCATCGACACGTATCTGATCTCGGCCAGTCTGACTCGGCCCCCAGAGCCAATCCTTCTCCCGAAGTTACGGATCCAATTTGCCGACTTCCCTTACCTACATTGTTCAATTGCCAGAGGCTGTTCACCTTGGAGACCTGCTGCGGATATAGGTACGGCCTGCCACGAAAATTATACTGCCTCGCTCGGATTTTCAAGGGCCGACAGGAGCGTTCCGGACACCACAAAAAGGATGATGCCTTACGGAATTCTTTCGACATTCATTTGAGTGATTAGTGAATTAATGAATAGCTTGAGATGCTTATAATCCAAGTATGATCATATTTTATACAATATATTCGCCTTCAATTATCTAATTACGGTGTATATACATATAATTCGTGACATGAATCTATTCTCCTTGTTTATCCACCTTAACTTCCCAAGTTAATACGAAAAAAAATAATTATTGGACAACAGGAAAGAAATTTCCAGTTGTAAGTAGATGTTTTTTTATCTAATTTATATGTGATTATTAGTGTCATACAAACCGAGCGAAGAAGAAAACGTGGTACAATAAAGAATGTTAATACACTACAAACAATAATGAAGTATCATAACCAGAAAAGAGGTAACTTGATTTTTCCCCCTTGAAATGATGTACTTAAACAAATAATGTATAAATGCGAAAATTGGAGTTGTTTTAATTTATAGCAATATTAGGCAAACTAATTTATGATATCTATTTTACTGGTTATGTTAAGGTATATATCTTAAAAGCTTTATCAGTTTCTCCATAATTGCGTGATGTACAAGTGGATTTCGTATGCTGTCAAAATTTGGAAATATGTTACTATCACATTTGTTTTGCTTACTTTACAAAATTTTCATCCTTACAATAGTAGAAGTTAATTCGATTAGTAATAAAAACTCATACTAAGATTTAACAAGATTAACGTTTTTTAATCTGACCACCAGTAACTTTCTAAATCGATTATATCATTTGAAATAACCGAACAAAATTCTATTCAATTACATTTTTATAAGTAATGTTATACACTATTAGCAACAACGAACTGTGGGAAAGAACAAACCAGATCCCAGCGAAGTTAAGAAGCGCTGGAAGTGGATAGGTCACACATTGAAGAAAGTACCCAACTGTGTCACAAGACAAGCCGTCATATGGAATCCCCAAGGTCAAAGGAGAAGAGGAAGACCAAAGAACACATTACGCTGGGAAATGGAGATAGACATGAGAAAAATGAACAAGAATTGGATGGAATTAGAAAAGGAGGCCCAGGACAGAGTGGGTTGGAGAATACTGGTCGGTGGCCTATGCTCCATTAGGAGTAACAGGTGTAAGTAAGTAATGTTATAAATTCAATACTTGGAGAATTCACATTATATTTAAGTGTGCGAGACGTTTAGAACTGTTTCTTTATTAAAACAGCCTGACTAGTATAGTTACTACTATCGTTAAGAATCTTGAATTGGAATAGTGGCTTTGTGTTTGAGGTGTCTGACTTTTAGCTACTATGTCATAAGTTCAAACCCTACTCCACCTACTTCGATTTGGGCAACTGTGTGTTATCAGCACTCACCTAGGTACTTAGTAAATGATCTAATTAAAGATAAAATTCAAACCATTCTATGGTACAACCGTTTTCGAGGCCACAAAATCTTGTAGTTGATCTAAATGTTACTTATTGGTCTTCAAGAATTGTTTGAATTTCAGCACCAGTCATTAATTTAAATAAGATGTCTTGATAGTGTACTTTCGTTTGACTTATTCAGTTAGTACAACGGTTTAATAATCGAAATATTTAATGTCATGCCATCGAGTTATAGATTTCGTACCTGTTGCGTTTATCTAAGTCAAGACGACTAAGTAGTATCACTAGTCTTCACACAGGGCTATGACTGAAAGTTAGCTACAATAATTAGATTGTTCAATTGTTAATTTAATTTGCCTACAGAATAATAAATTTGGAACACTTGTATTCATGGTAAATATGATGTAGATAATTAATTGTTATTTTGGTTTCTTTTCCTTTATTCATTTATTAACTGTGTAAAAATTATGATATTTTAATGGTGTTTTGTGGTTTATTGTAAGTCTTTCTCTTAGAGGACCAATAATTTGCTAAACTAAGTTAAGTTTTATGATTGAGATCATGAATCGATTGATGTTAGACCACCATTGAAAACCTGGAAGGACTCGACGGCCGTTTTGTTCTAGTATAGGACTCCTCAGCAGTGCTCATCCATGACCCCTCTTTAGGAACTCGAACCCAGGACCTTCGGTCTCGCGCGCGAACTCTCGACGTTTGAACCACTGAGCCGGTGTTAAACGGTGTTAATGTGTAACTCTAACCAACCCACGAAATTGGGCGACAATCTTCATTTGTCTGCGGTAGATACCTGTGTCTACCTGACATAGATTAACTCCACTGGTCACGACTTCCCACTAGAACTTTGAGAATTCCCTCACAAAACTAGTCACTAGTGAGTACATGATAATTATCAGTATGGGGCTGTGGAGAATTTTTGAAATTGTTTCCTGAAAAAAAGTGTCACTCAATATCTATGAATATTCGTCAAGATTAGAACGAATAGTTTGACAGAAATTGGGCACCGAGCATAGAGAAGTTATTATATGTGAAAATTATATTCGAAAGAATCTCAGCGATTGAAATTTAAATAATTCCAACGTTTCGTCCGGCT